AGGCATCCCCTCCCACCCACCCCCGCCCCCAGGCAGGGTGACACCAGCACAGCCAGGAAACAAGCACGGCTGTCTCAGAGCTCCGGGACGCCATCCAGAGCACCTCCTTATCTGCAAACCCACACGAAGGCCTGCTTCAGCCCTGCCCTGCAGGAAACAAGTCTGCCTCTTCCCAGAAGCCTCACCTTGTTGAACCAGAGCCAGGCTGCCTCCTCCTCACCGCTCTCCTCTTCTCTCGGGCCCTGTCCCATTCTTGTCACCCCTTCTATCCCATTGACCAGAGCTCAGGTATAGGACAAGCACTCCTGGTGGCTTTGATGGAGGCCCAGAGCCTGCTAATACATCTTAGCAGAGCCCAGAGAATGTATTTTTAGCATGGGCCCAGCTCAGTCCTTCCCGCCAGGATGCCCTGCCTCTCTTGGTTCATCCAAGCCCCGAGGCAAGCATGTGAGGGCTGTTCAGACAAGCCCAGGCCCCAGCTGGCCCGAGAGCCTCCCTGCAGGGAGGAAGGTAGGAGAAGGCTCGTGTGGATTCTCCAGTGTGGGCGCGGGCCTGAGCTGTGGGGAGGCAGGGCCGAGGGTAGGGGAGCTACAGCAGGTGTCCCCGCCTTCTCCCACCAGCTGGCCTTGGCCTCCTAGCCCTCCCAACTTTGTCCATCCATCCATCCATCCATCCATCCATCCATCCATCCATCCACTCATCCAACAAGCTTTGGCTGGCCGTTTATTATGCTGGCGCGGGGGCTGAGAAGGATGCGTTCCCAGACTCAGAACCGGATTCCTGACTGTTGATGTAAGAAACATCCAAACCTGTAGAGAATCTTTGAGTTTGTTTGAGCCAAACTGACAGCCACTGCCGGGAAGCAAAATCCAACAAATTGAGAAAATGCTCCAGAGAATGGCAGCTTTGCATCTTATTTTGTACATTCAAATCAAAGGGGGAGACATCAGGAGGTTACATGGAATCCATTGGTGGTAGATTAAAGGGACACGAGAAAGCAAAGCGGGGAAATCTCTGGGATTGGATAAAGAGGAAAAGAAAGAGACGTAACTTCTTGTACACTGACGGGTACAGGAACATTGGTGGGTACAGGATAGTTAATAATGAACATTGACGGCACATGGATTTGGTATGTGGGGAACAAGATGGCAATTAGGGCTCCGCGGTCTCTGCTCTAGTGCAGCGGTTGAGCCCTGAGGGGTCTGGAACAGGAGATTACTCTGACATTTCAAAGATCTGTTGTCCTAGATGCAAAAGGGCCATAGACAGGCTCACGTAAGGTAAAGATTGACCTTTGTCAAGGAAGCTACAGGCCCAGGATGTGACTACCTGCCATGACCTGCTTTTAGTTAGGAATTTTCATGTTCAGACCATCCTATGTGGTTGCTTTCGTCTCTGAGTTTGGAAGGCCGCCACGCAGGCCTCCCCTTGTCAGGTTTAACAGGCGCTGCTTTTCAGTCCTCATGACCTTCTCCCCCAAATCACCCCTTACCCCCAAGTCTTCCCCATCTCCGTTAGTGGCATCTCCACCCTGCCTGTGGCTCAGGCCAAACCTCACATCCCACCCATCATCAAATCTGTCTTGCCCTGGCTCAAAATATATCCAGAATCCAACCACAACTCACCCCTTTCACTCCTGCCACTCTTGTCCACGCCACCATCGTGGCTTACCTGTGTGGCCTGACAGGGAGGGCTCCTGCCTGTCTCAGCCCTCCTCTCCTAACCCTAACCCCCCCCACCCCCACCTAAGCTCTTTCTGGAGTCAGACTGGTGCTTTAAAAACAAGGTCAGATCACACCTCCCACATAGCAGGCACCCCCTCCCCCTAGAACCTGTGACCTGGCCACTCCCCCTGGAATGACCTTCCCCTAAAAATACACCCACTCACTCCCTCACCTCTCCAGGATGGTACTCAAATGTCAGCCTCTCAGGGAGGCCAGCCTTGTTTGGCCCATTTCACATTGCAGTCCCTCCCGTTCTCCATCGCATTTATTGCCAAATAATACAAGATGTGTTCCTTATTTGTTTTGTTTATTGCCGATTTCCCCTCCCTGGAACATGAGCTCCTGGAGGGCAAGATTTTAGAAACTGCCTGGCCCCATCACGTGCTGTGGAATGAGTGAATGAATGATTTGTGGGGGTAACGCCCGTAAAAAAGTTGTCCCTGCCTCCATTCCTGTCATTTCCTGTCTGTTTCCACACGGGCAGCCACGGTGATTGTCCTAGAAAGCACGTTGCTAGAACAATTGCTACAACAATTTAGGTCTCAGGGAAGGTGTCACTGTCTCAGAGCCTTCCCTGGCCCCCTTCTTCTGTAATTGCCTGGTTACTGGTCTCTCTGTCCCCGGGACAGTGAACTGGGGCCATGTCTGTCTCACGCAGGAGGTAGAATGGTGCAGTGGCTAAGGGAATGGACTGCCTAGCTCCAGATTCCAGCTAAGGTGTGGGACTTTAGGCAAGTTACTTAAAGCTCCTTGGGCCTCCATCTCCTCATCTGTAAAATGGGGATAATAATAGTATCTCCTTCGGAGCCCCATAGAAGAGGGTAGAATGAGCAAACACAGTAAATGTAACGTGAATGTCAGTTATTAATGTTCTTCAGGGTTGTATCCCAGTGTCCGGCACAAAGTCTGGCCCACATTTAGTACTGAGTGGCATTGGCTGGCTGGCTGGCTGGCTGGCTGAATGAATGAGTCTGAATACAGAGGGATGGAGAAATGGCATGAGAACCTAGATAGAGGAGAACCCTCACCCAGCCAGAGGAGAGTCAGGGAGACTCCCTGCAGGGAGCCTTCAGCTGATTCCAGCAGGGCCAGGAGCCAGCCAGCAAGTGGAGGGAGGCCGTGCAGGCAGGGGCAGTAAACGGCGTGTGCAAAGGCCCCTCATGACAGAGAGGACAGCAGGTGCGCAGGGAATGTCCACCCATCACTCAGTGACTAACCCTGCTGTGCCAAGAGGCCAGATTCCCCTTTGTTGGCCATTTTGAAGACATTCTTGGGTGTAATGACAAGAAAAAACCTGAGATGTTCTAAATTAAAATTACAGTGGCTGGGGAGTTAAGGAAACAGAACAGTTAGCCTGGTCATAGTTGTGGACCAGCTCTGACGAAACTGCTCACATTCCTGTATATATGTTGGAATTCAGAATCAATTTCCATGTGGCTATTTCCATGATTATCAAACCCCAGGAGCCCTTGCTTCTTATTTACACACAAGCCTCCCAATCTGTTGCCCACAGCTAATCCACAGGAGTGGACACCTCTTCCTCGGGGACTCTGCTGCACCTATGCCAGAGCTGGCCCCGCTTCACCTTCTCCGGCACCCTCTGTCTGTCGCTAATGTAACCCTTTCAGAAGGCTCACATCTACCTCCACCCCCTACTTGATGTATAAAAAAGGGCTTGCAAAACTCCGGGATGACGAACATGCTGTCTAATCTACCGAGCCACGCTGCTGGTGGTTTAAACTCCATGCCTTGAAGGGCTGATGTGAGAATTCTGAGACAGAGGCTGTGATAGCTTGTGGCAAACTGAGGTGTGGTCCCTGCAGGTTATTATTAGCAATCAAGGAAACTGGTTTGGAAGGGGTTAAGTGGAGACCCTGCCTCCCAGCCAAGAACAAATCAGGGCTGGCAGGGGAGGAGCCAGGCTGCCACTAGGAGAGAGATCTAGACTAGCCAGATGTTGCCTGGAGAGAGGGAAAGGAGAAGACGCATCTGAAGGGATTGGGGGCCATGGGGCGGGGTCTTGGGGCAGGGTCCCTGGGCTCTGCACCATGATAGCTCCAAGCCAGAGGGTGTAGGGCCAACTTCTAGGGATTGGAGGAGGAGGGGCCAAGTTGCCTGTGTCGGAGACAGTGACAGGGTGGGAGAGAACCAGGACCAGGAACCCTCCTCACCCCCCAGGCAGGCGCACCAGCTGCACCCAGGCCTTGACCTCAGCTGACCCTGATAGCCCACATGTGGTGCAGGGTCTAATTTTAGCTCAGCCACAGGGCCCAAAGCCCAGGAGTGCTTGTCAGCGGGCACAGGGGTGGCCAAGGGGTGGCCAGGGCTGCTCTGGGGCTGTTCAGGCAGGGGGAGGATTGGGGAGACCACCCCTGCTCCTTCCAGCCCTGCACCTTGGCCAAGCCGCCTCTTGTGGGAGCCCCAACAGGTCCCCCATGGCCTGGCAGACAGTCCTTTCCATTGAGGACCAGGTCAGGGGGTTTAGCCAGGAGGGTAGAAGGACACAGCCTAGCAGTCTGGACAGCGGTTGCATCAGGCTGAATAGTGCCTGGGGGCAGCGGGGTATCCTGCTGGGAGGGCAAAGGCTGGCTTGGTTGTCTAAAGGCCAAAGAAGCAGAGTCCTGACCACAGGAACGCAAGGCCAGAAAGTTGGGTCCTACCTGGCCTCCCTGTGCCTGGTTGACCCTACACAGGCAGCCTGCTCTTGATGAGCCTCAGTCTTCCCATCTGTACAATGAGGGCGCTGAACTAGGTTGATCCCAGCTCCAGCGGCCCACCCTCAGGCCCCCTGCTCCTCCTGCTTTCCCCAGCCCTGGCTGTGGGTGGCCACATGCAGTCGTGGAGAAGGAAGTCCCTCTGGCTGGTACTGCTGGCCTCTTGGCTCCTCAGCCTCCTGGGAATCTTTCCCCTTCTCCGCCTGGCAGTGCCCACCAGACCTCGGGCAGGGGCCCGCCAAAGCTGGCCCCGCTGGCTGGATGCAGAGCTCCTGCAGAGTTTCTCCCAACCTGGGGAGCTCTCAGAAGATGCCCTTCAACGTCCTCAAGCCCCCAGTGGTGGCAGCTGCGACTGGGGAGCTTGCTTTGATGCCTCGAAGTGCAGGGGTGGTGGCTTCAAGGTGTTTGTGTACCCAGTGGCTGGACCCATCTCTAAGACTCAGCACAAGATCTTGGCTTCCATTGAGGGATCCCGCTACCATACAGTCAGCCCCACCGAGGCCTGCCTCCACCTCCTCAGCCTGGATGCCCTGGCTGGAAAGTGCAGCCTGGTGCCCCCAAAATGGAATGGGGGCAAGAACCATCTGGTCCTCCGGCTCCACCCAGCCTCCTGCTCCTGGACCTTCCAGCTGGGACAGGCGATGGTGGCCGAGGCCAGCCCCGCAGTGGACACCTTCCGGCCTGGCTTTGACGTGGCCCTCCCGCTTCTCCCTGAAGCCCACCCGTTTCGAGGTGGGGTTCCTGGCCAGCTGCGGCAGCACAGCCCCCAGCCTGGGGTGGCCCTGCTAGCCCTGGCAGAGGAGAGGGGCGGGTGGCGCACGGCAGCTACCAACTCCTCAGCCTGCCTCTGGGATGGGCACTGTGAGCAAGACCATGGACCGGAGCAGTAAGTGGACCTTTCCCCTCGGGGGCTGGATGGGAGGGGTCTGTAATGGGAGCGAGCTGGAGGCCAGGGTAGAGGGCAGGATTGAGGTGGGACCACCAGCTACAGCAGGAGGGAGTCAAGTTAGACAGCAGAGAACACCACCATCAAGATGGTGATTTGCTGCAAGAGGTGTCCAAGGCAGGTTTTGGAGCTCTCCCTGGGGATCTTTAAAAACATAAGACATGACTCACTCTTACTCTTTTTCTCTTATTTCAATTTAATATTTTATTTAACATACACTTCTATAGTGCATGCTCTGTGCTAAGCACTTTCACAAATAATGATTATAATAAGATAATACTAATTGCTATCATTAAGTTTGTGTACCTGCCACTGAAGCTCAGAGAGGTTAAGTAATTTGTTTGAGGCCACCCAGCCAGAAAGAGCACAGCTAGTATTTTAATTCAGAATTACCTGTCTCCAAAGCCTTCAGTATTAGAATTCTGAGTTTTAAGGAAGGGTTTATGATCAACACTGTCAAATTCCTCAGAGCCATGGAGATTAGTCGCAGATAGAAGCTGCTCCTATGTCTAATTTTGGGGATTAACGTCTCAAGAAAACAGCCTTTGGTTACAGCAAATATGAATTAGGTTAGACTTACAAAGGAACTTCCTGCCAGTGAGAGTCCTGAATACATATAAGGGGCAGCAGGGCCCATGGGACATGGAGACCTTGCTTAGAAACTTCTTTCTACCTGGGCTAGTTGGGGTGACATACCTTAGGCGATAGAGCAATTAACCCCTAAGCATCCCCACCCCTCTGCACCCCCAGGAGGCCAGAGTACCCAAAGGCTGGCTGAGCAGGCAAGAATGAAAATCCTTTTGAGGTTTCCAGAGCCCCTGAAGCAGAGGGTTCCCTCTCTATCTCCCAGGACAGACCTGAGTTGGAGTCTGTCACCCTGGTCTCCTTCCCTTACTCCCTCTCCCAGGCACCTCCCTGTTCTCTGCTGGAATGACACGGGCTGTTCTGAGCTCTACTTCCCTCCCAAGAATTCTTCATGTGGCCACGCTCCATTTTTGCCTCTGCTTGGGGCTTCTGGGGCTTCTCTCAGCCAAAGGGCACTTGTGGGAATGAATTCTTCTCCCTCCTCTCGGGAGCCCCACAGCCAAGGGTAAGAACAGAATTTCCCCCATCAGTTCCCACAGCCTTTCTGCCAGGACTCACCCCTAGCTGGCATCCTTGGCAATTATCTGAAAAGTCAGGATCCCCCGGGTACCTCAAGCTCAGAGCTCACCTTTGGTGACAATATTCTCTACTCACCATGCCCCGCGTCACTTTCTGATTTGGCACTTAGCTATTCTTGCTTACAGAAAGTTCCTTCAGCTGAACTAAGTGCAGTTGGTTATTGGTGAATCTGAAAGCTATTGCAGCCTGAACTTCTTTGAGAAACTGAGTTAGGGAGCTGCACACAGTAGGTAGGTGCTCACTAAATGTTTACTGATTGATCCAAAATTGGCCAGAACTGGCCAAGGTTTCCTAATCAGTGTGGTCACCCTCTAAATAGCCTTTTTGATAAGTTTATTTCCAAGGTATGACACCTAGCAGGCTCTAATATTGTCCTCTGAACATCAAGAAGTTCTATCTTTGGCTTCAGCCCATTGTAAGCAGCAGGAGCTCTAATCTCTGAGGTAGTTCGAGCCTCAGTTTCCCTGAAGTGCCAGGAGCTGCCTGAGTGAGCCCAACAGTCTAGGGACAGTGTAACAGAAGGAGGCCTACAGCCACAGGGCCAGACCCTGGAAGGCGGCCTGGATAAACAACTGCTGGCCAGAGAAAGAGGCGATTCACTGTCCCTGCCACTGTCCCACATTCGCTCAGCTGGCAAGAGCGGGGGAGAAGCAAGTGTTTGGGGAAAGCTTGCTCTGGGCCAGGGGCCTTGCCAGCCACCTTACATAAGCCATGCCCAGTCCTCTGATGCACCCTTCAAGGGAGGTATTAGCATTCTCATTTCTGGGAACAGGAAACTGAGGCTCGGAGAGGTGGAGGGAGCCAGCCAAGGGCCCTTGGTGACAAGCCCTTGATTCGCCACAGCCTCCCTCCTGTTTCTGATCAGGCGCTTGGCGTTGGGACTAAACCCTGCACTTCTGGCTCCAAAGCCCATGTTTTTCCACCTTTGTTGAACAACCTCCACCCCTTGAAATTGTTATTTATTTTTATGAATAGGGAATTCATTCACATGGTACAAAATTCCAAAAGCACAAAAGGGTATACAGTAAAAACTCCCTCCCACCCAGCTTTCCTTCCGGGAACGAAACTCCGCTGCTATTTCCCTTGTGTCTTTTCTGAGGTACTCTGTGTACAAGCAACCGGTACACACACTTTCCCCGCTTTTTGTTTGTTTGTTTACATAAGTTCAGTGCAGGTTTTAAAGTCCCTGGTCCATCTCCACTGGGCACAGGGGCTACAGTGCCTAAGGCCCATGATACTTTTAGGAGGCTGTGAAAATGTGTGTTTGTTTTTAAATCAGGAGAAAAAAATGAACTTTTAGGTAGAAGAAAATATTTTCATATATAATATTAATATGTTCATTTTTATATCAACACTGTTATCAAATACAATTTTTATAAATTTTTATGGCAGAGGGGCCACAAAGGCTAAAGTGCTTAGGGCAGATGAAAGTAGGCAGAGCCACACTGACTCCAGCCTTGGGCACTGAGGCCCGGAGTCCATGGCAAGCACCTTTCATGGTCACAGAACCCTAAGACTTCATTGGCAGTTACCTTGATGATCCTTCTATAACACCCCCACACTGACGCTCATCCAGTCTCTGCTTATTTACCTCTACTGATGGGGAACTCACCACCTCCCAAGGCCACCCACTGGCTACTCGCAACCAGCTCCATTACCAGAATTTGTGCTGAAACTGACTTTTTAGACATTGGGTCCATTGGTCCTAGGTCTAGCCTCTATGGCACACTGAAAATTCATGAATTTAGCACCCACTGAGTGCCACTCTGCCAGGTGCTCTGCTAGGCCCTGGAGATACTGAGATGAGGGAGGCACAGCCCTGTCCTCATGTAGCTCAGTCTCGTAGGAGAGACAGATAGATCACTGGTTAGGACACACCTTGTTAAGTGGAGAGATGCTATGCAAGCTGCCTGCCTGGCTCCTGTACTTCAGAACTACGTGACCTCTGCGGGCCTCAGTTTCATCTGTAAAATGGGATACTAGCATCACATACCTTCTATCTCATAGAGTTGCTGTGAGAATGAACTGAGGTAATGAATATAAAACACAAAGTATGTGCTCAACAAAAGTTAGTTTAGCTTATTATTACTCCAGTGCATACAGGGGCTGTGGAAGCAGAGAGGAGGGAGCCATTTCTAGAGAGATCAGGAAGGCTTCCTAGAGGAGGTGATGTTAAGATCAAGTAGGATTCCTTGGGCTGCAAGGCAGGGGAGGGGTGCTCTAGGCTGAGGTAGGACTTGCAAAGAGAGGGACCAGCGGAGGCTGAAGAGGGCTGAGAGGTGTACTTCATTCAGCAGGCTCTTCGTTTCTGGGTTCTCTGAAGCCTAACCTCAGATTTCAGTCCCTTGGTGCTGCCCATTTTAGTGAGGTGCAGGCTGTTTTGTTGTTTAACTTGTAGCTTCTTCCAGGCAAAGCCTAGTGGACACCCGAGCACTGAAGAAAGAAGGCAGGGAGATGCCTAACAGCAGCTCTGGGTGGTTCAAACAACCAGGATCCGGGATAAGCACATCTTGATTCTAGTTCCAGCTCTGCCCAGCCCTTGCTGAGACCCTGAGCTCCTCTGAGTCTGAGACTCAGTATCCCCGTCTGTTCAGTGAGGGTTGGTCCAGAGACTGACTAAGGACTCCCAGGACTGCTTGAAGGGTCAGACTCAGGACCAGATAGGCTGTAGCTGAGGAGGATCCTGGGACCCTCTAGGCCCTCCCTATTCATCAGTCCTGCTCTGAGCAGGCCTGTGAGTCCAGGATCCTGCCTGCCCGCCGCCCCTCCCCACCCCACCCCCAGCAGCTAGGTGATGGGCACTACTCCTCTGGGTGGGCAGTCCCAGGGAAGTGACTCTGAGAGGGCAGTGACTGCCCCTCGGCCCCCACCCCACAGGCACACACAGCCTGAGTGTGGCCCTGGAGCTGTGGGGAGGAGGTGGGAGGAACAGAGGAGGCCTGTCATCTGGGTGAGGGGGCCTCTGGGCAGCAGCTTCCTGTGTGGTTCCAGGCTAGGGGCCCAGCCCACCTCATGACAGAAGAGCCTTTCATGGGCCTGGGCTCTCAGAATGGAGGGGGGTGGGCAGGGCATGGAGGCCACTCAGGTGAGGACTGCCTGAGAGCCTGCGTGTGGCAGAGCGGTGGGAGGGCAAACACATGCATGTCCAAGTCAGACCGGGCCTTGGGAAGCCAGGTCCTGCCCCCTCTCATATTGCAAATGAGGAAACCTCCGCCCAAAGAAGAGCAGAAAAGTGTCTAAGAACAGCAAGGGCAGAGGCGGAGCTGGAACCCAGGGCTCCTGCTCCAGTCTAGGCGTGGGTGAGGGGCGAGTGTGAGGCGGGCACTCGTGTATCTGTGTGTAGCTGTGCTTGCACAAATGAGAACACAATGGTGTGTTTGTACATTGTGAAGTGTTGGTGTGGGGGCTGGGGTGTCATAGAGGGAGCCAGTGGGGGGAAGGACAGCTGTCTCAGGCCTCGGGTGTGCTGGACCCCTCCTGTGCCTCCTTAGGACCCACCCTGGGGCAACGCTGCCCAATGCCACCTTCTGCCTCATCCCCGGCCGCCGTCCTGATGCCTTGCGCTTCCTCCAAGCCCTGCAGGTACAGCCCCAACTTGCACAACTTGCGCATCCCTCATCCCCCTAGCCCACACTCCTAGCTGCCAGGGTTCTCTGGGCCCCTTCCAAGGGGAAGGAGAGGTAAGCTGCTCTTACTCCTTTACTCTGGGACTCAGGTGTGCCTGTGGCCACGTTTATCTCACCCTCTGCAGAACACCCACACTCCCAACCCCACTTTCCTCTCCTCTTGCTCCTTGCCCCCAATAGCAGCATCTGCTGACTTGGAACTGGGAGGTGGGTGAGTGTGTGCAAGGTGGGACTGGGCTCCCCAGTGACACCCCTGCCCCCCAGGCTGGCTGCATCCCTGTGCTTCTCAGCCCTCGCTGGGAGCTGCCCTTCTCCGAGGTTATCGATTGGACCAAGGCGGCCATTGTAGCTGACAAGAGGCTCCCACTTCAGGTAGCTGAGGGCCCTGCCCATGGGGTGGGGACTGGACCCAGGACACGGGAGGGACCCCAGGATCCCAGGCTAGCCTCAGTCCTCATTCCTATCCCCCCATCTATGTAGTATATTGATGATTTTGTCCCCCAGCCCCATGCCTCTGGGACTCCATAGGATCAGAAGGAAGCCGACTAATGAGCCTCTTTCAACCTCAGTTTCCCCATCTGTACAATGGGATGTTAGACCAGATGATCTCCATGGGGTTCCCCTTAAATACCCAGTTTAAGGGAAGACCACACATATGCATACACACACACACACTTCAAAACTGGAGTGCCCCCATACAGCTTTGGGTGGCAAAGAAAAAGACACAGTGACTTCCATCTGATGAAACTAATTTTGCCTGGCTCTGAAAAACATATGTGTGAGCCTTGAATCCTCTGAGAAGTGAGAAAGGTATAGGGGATTAATAACAACAGGTACCATTCATTGAGCCTCTACAATGTGCTGAGCACTTAGTATGTACTAATTTAATTCTTACAGCCACCCTATGAGGCAGGTACAATTATCCCTGTTTTATAGATAAGGAAATAGACTTGGAGAAGTTAAGTAGCTTGTCCACAGTCACATAATTACTAAATGGCATTTAAACTCAGCTCTCTGTGACCCTTGAACTCTTGAGGCTATGCTGCCCGGGACTTGGCCAAGGGTGGCTGCTGCTAACTCTGGAGAACCACGGAGAGAGGGCTTCTGGTTCCCAGACCTCCAACCCCAGGTTGTCCCCACCCCAGGGTCAGTCAAGGCCTGACAAGGCCCCATGCCTTCTCCTTTTCTCCCTCTGTGGCCCAGGTCCTGGCTGCCCTCCAGGAGATGCCCCCCACACGGGTCCTTGCCCTGCGTCAGCAGACCCAGTTTCTGTGGGACGCCTACTTCTCCTCAGTGGAGAAGGTCATTCATACCACTCTAGAGGTAAGGAGGACTCGCCTGGTAGGGGCCCTGGTGCTTGACTCCTGCCTTGCCCTTTTCTAGACACCTCCTCTGCCTTGTCTAGGCTTCCCCCTTAAAGATGCTTCTGGGATGAATCTGAGACTGGAGCTCTTGGATAAGTTCCCCAATGTTGGCCTCAGTTTCCCCATCTGTAGAGAGACAGCTGTGGCAAAGAGATTCCAAAGTTTGTACCAACTCCAGTTGATGGTACTGGCTGCCCGGGTGCTGTGCTGGGAGGGGTTCTGGGTCTGGAAAGAATGTCATGAGCTGTTAGTGATGTCTGTCATGGGTAAGGAAGGAAAGGAAGGCAGCAAGCTCGCCAACATCTGCCAGCTCTGGACACCATCACTGAGTACGCCTTACTCCGGACTTCTGCATCTGAGCCCTTCTCTCCCCAGGGTGATGCAGCTGCCACCCCTCAGACCCTGCCCGCTGCCACCCAGAGCCCCCTCTCATTTTGCAGATTATTCAGGACCGGATCGTTGGAGTGTCTGCTCACCCCTCGTTGTTGTGGAACAGCCCCCCAGGGGCACTCCTGGCCCTGCCCACGTTTTCCACAAATCCCTTGGACTTCCCCTTCTATTATCTACAGCACGGTATGTCCTGGGGATGAGACAACCTGAAGTCCCCTCATCAACTCTCCCCAAGTTCCTTTCAGTCTCAACCATAGAGCCTCACCAAGGCCCTCCCCAAGTCCCCAACATCTCTCCTGGCTCCCAGGGTCCCCAACCCAGGTCACTCTCCAGGGGATTCTGTCCCCTCCCATCCTAATAGCCTGTGTCTCATTCCCCCAGGCTCTCGCTCTGCAGGCAGGTTCAGCGCCCTGATCTGGGTGGGGGCCCCAGGCCAGCCCCCCCTGAAGCTCATCCAGGCGGTAGCAGGTTCCCAGCACTGTGTCCAGGTCTGCTTCCTTGCCAGCTGGGGTTCTGGGATCCAGGGTGGGGGCAAAGGACAGGGCAGGGCTCTTAAAGATACCTACACCCCAAAGATGACCATCCATTTTGGGGGAGGGGAGGCAGGGGGAGGACTTTCAAGGGCTCTTGCTGCCTTCTTTAAGTCCTAAGTTTCTTGTACTTTCCCCTCACCCCTTTCTGCCTCCCCATGGAAATTGATGACTCCATCTAAAAAGGGGTGCCTCCTGGGGAGGCTGGAGAAATAAACATACCTGTGTTCACTCATTTGCTTACCCAGCAGTCACTTTCTGAGCACCAGGTCCTGGGTTTGATGCTGAGAATGCCGAGAAAAGGCAGGAGAGGGTTCTGCCCTGGATTCAGATTTACTTAGCATTTCCTGGGACACATACTGTCAAATGTCACTTCCAGAGAAGCCAGGTAGACTCTTGAGAGTACTTGCAGAGGGGGAAGCAGTGAGCTCAGCCAGGGCACAGATGGAATGGCAACACACAGGACATCGAGCTGGGCTGGGAATGATAATGGAGCAGGAGGAGGAGAGTGAAAATCTTTGAGAGAAGATGGGGATGAGATGTGGGGTCAGGGCCCAGGCTAGGGGTCCACCACTGGAACTCTCTTGAGTTCTAACTACCTTCAAGTCACCTTCCTGCCCTGCAGAAGCCCAGAGGCAAGAACAGGGCAGTAATGAAAGGATCTTGGCTCCAACTAAGCTCTTCTCCCAAACTCACATATACAGCTGCTCACTCATATTTCTTCCACCCTGAGAAAGATGGCTCCTGGGATCTTTCTGCCCCAGACTTAAGTAACACCCCCTCTCCTCCTAGATCTTGGTTCTCTGGAGCAATGACAAGCCACCCCCACCCAGGTGGCCTGAGACAGCAGTGCCCTTGATAGTCATCGAGGGGCACAGAAAGGTAAGGGATGGGGAGGGGTGTGGAAGGGGTGGGCTCAGCCCTGGAAAGCTGGGAACTGGGGAGGGCATTTACTTGGGCCTGAGCCAAAGCTAGACTTCTCGTTGGGCCTGAAGATATCAGACAGGAGGTTTTGGCTATAGGCCTAATAGATTCTCTTCCATCCCTGGCCCTTGTTAATTGTGCTTCCAGAGAACTGGGGTTTCATGAGTTGGGAGTACCTTGAATGTTTCAGATAAGGGATAGAGGAGAAATCTAGGATCCTGAGGAAACATGGACAGATGGCAGCAAATGGGCCAGAGGTTCTGCGAACCCAGGATGGTATGAGCCACCTGCTTGCTATGTGGTTCTGGGCAAGTCCCTTCATCTCTGGATCTGATTCTTTCAAAGAAGGATGTTTGATAACCCCTTCCAGGGTTGAGGTGAGCATCCAATGAGGCAAGGAAGGAATCCTAAGATGTCAAAACTGAAAGGGCCCCTAGACGCCAACTGCCCCATTTTATCAAAGGGGAAGTTGAATTCCAGAGAGGTAAAAGGAGCTCCTCAGATCCGAGTTCTGGGCAGGCTTGCTGTTTTCACTGCCCTTCCCTACACCATGCCTGCAGGACTCCTGCTTAGAAGATACTCAGATATTCACTGTGGGAGCCTGGGGAGGTTCCCATGCTTAGTTGCCCTCACCTCCCTCCCTCTGCAGGTCAGCGACCGCTTCTTCCCATACAGTGCCATCAACACCGATGCCATCCTCAGCCTTGATGCCCACAGCAGTCTTTCCACAAGTGAGGTGAGGACTGGGCCCAAGAGGAGCCCAGAGTGGGTGGGGACTGAGCCAGAAGGCCCTGGAAGTCCCTCGGATTCCCTGAGCTGGGAGGGCCAGATGTCAAGAGGTCCAGTCTTTTGCCTTTGAAGCCATCCCAGCAAGTCCCTCAGCCTTCTCCTTAGAAATCTAATAGCAGCTTTCCAGACTCTTTCAAAAATATTCTTTTCAGCTCCCAGCTGGAAAAGTTCCCCTAAGCATTGCCCCCTCAGCCAGGCTGGCTTTGCCTCCATACCTCTGATGTTCTTTCCTCACACCTCACATATCTCCGCAGGTGGACTTTGCTTTTGTGGTGTGGCAGAGCTTCCCGGAGCGGATGGTGGGCTTTCTGACCTGGAGCCACTTCTGGGATGAGGCCCAGGGTGGCTGGGGCTACACTACTGAGAGGGTCAACGAATTCTCCATGGTTCTCACCTCAGCCGCCTTCTACCATAGGTACAGGTGGTAGCCCTGGCACCAGGATTAGATGGCCAGAGACCCCCTCTTTAAACCAGGAGCAGGGTGGCATGGGAGTGAACACAGCAGTCAGCCTAGAGCCCAGAGATCCAGGTTCAAGGCCCAGATCTGCCATGTCCCAGCTATGTGATGGGCAAGTCTCCTCACATCTCTTGAGGGCCAGCTTCCTCATCTGTAAAATGTATTCACCTCACAGGGCTGGTGTGATAATCAAATGATAAAAGAAATTTTAATAAATCAAAAAAATAAATGTGTGTGTGAACTGGGGACTGCACAAGCACCCCAGTCTTGGGGCAGGGACTGAATTCTGGAGGGCCTCTTTAGAGGGGTCCCTTAAACATGTTTAAACCAAATATGGAAGCTCTTGCAGGGAATCCTCAGTAGAATGAAGAATACCCCTAAAGTCTGCTGGGGCCCCGGTTGTGTGGCAGGAGGGCTCTGTGAAGCAAGGCTCCCCTGGAGCGGCATCAGCAATGGAGAGCGGTCAGGAGCGCTCTGAAGTGGCCAGGGCTCAGGGAGGGGAGCAGGGTTTTTGCAANATGACGCACCCACCTGTGTGGACGTCCTAATGAACTTCCTGGTAGCAGAAGTCACCAAGCTGCCCCCCATCAAGGTGCCCTACGGGAAGCGGCACCAGGAAGCCAGACCACCACAGGTGAGCATGGCGGGGGACTGGTGGGCACTGGG